AACTTGCAGGAAAATGATTAGCCAATGTAATCATCATGTAAGCCCAAGAACAACTCTAATGATCAAACTAAGGAGGCAGAGGCTTTCAAAGTGCAACTACAAAATGCTGCAGAAAGAAATGAAGGAAGACACCAACCAATGGGAGGGTACCCTGTGCTCATACAGCTCACGGGTTCATGCTCAGACACCCAACCCTGTGACAGTGACATCTATTACATTCCTTACAGCGCTTCCGGCTCACGTGGGGCTCCGCCTCTAGCTCACCGAGCACCAACCGCAGGACATGACCCTGTACCAAGGCTCCTACAAACTGGGTTGTCCCCAAGTCAACAGAAAAGTGCCTTGGAGGTAACTGGCTGCTGAAGCCGCCCACAAGCATGTGCCTTCTGCTCGGATGGGGAGGGGATGAGAAACCACACTGTCACAGCCTGCTGTGGAGGAGGTGCTCGAGAGAGGGGCAGCTGGTACCCAAGTGCCTGACGGGATATTTGATTCACAAACTCACCTTGCAGTATCTGGGATGAGGCATCCTCTCAGTGGCTCAGAACAGTTCTGGAGGGACGTGAAGCCGACCTGGAGCTAAGCCAATCTGAATCCACGAGCCAGGAGCCTCTTCTGGGTCTCCCATGTGGGCGCAGGGACCCAAAGCTTTGAATCATCCTCCACTGCTTTCCCAGACCACAAGCAGGGAGCTGGATGGGCAGTGGAGCAGCCGGGACTATAACTGGTATCTGTATGGGATTCAGACATTACAAACAGCAGATTTGCATGCCCCTAAAACAAATGCATTTATCTCTCTTTTTAAAAAAATGTTTAAGTTTATTTTTATGGGAAAGGCAGATTTACAGAGAGGAGAGACAGACAGAAAGACTGTCTATCTGCTGGTTCACTCCCCATGTAGCCACAACAGCTGGAGCTGAGCCAATCCAAAGCCAGGAGCCAGGACCCTCTTCCGGGTCCCCCACATGGGTGCAGGGTCCCAAGACTTTGTGCCATCCTTGACTGCTTTCCTAGGCCAGAAGCATGGAGCTAGATTGGAAGTGGAGCAGCTGGGACACACACCAGTGCCCATACGGGATCCCAGCGCAGGCAAGGCGAGGATTTGGCTACTGAATTGTCCCGGTCTGTGGGACACGACGATCAAACCCTGAGGGTGGACTGGGAATGCCGGGCTGCCGGCCCAAGAAGCACTCGGACATGGACACTTGGAGAAAGAGAGTGCCCATGCCCTTTATTTTACTCCTCACATGTATACCTTCTTCTCTAGGAAAGGAGGAGAAGGGGAGGGGCTTCCTGGAACTAATTATCTTAATTGAAGCGGGAGGAACTAATTATTTGAACAGGACCGAGGCTGGAGATTCTGTTCCCCTTGCTTTGCACGGGATGTCCTAGCCGTAATATCCTGCTTGCTGTGGCCCTGTTAGCCCAAGGCAGGCTTTGCAATGCAGCAGGCTGTCAGGTCGGCCCAGTCTAAAGCCTGTAAGTCTGTGTGGCTCCTAACGCTGAGCCACTGTGTCAGGCCCAGCAAGTAGATTTCTTGCTGATGGCAACTAAATGGCATTTTAGCATGTCTGTCCTGCAGTCATTTCTGTCCGTTCACTAGACTTTCCTGAGGGGTCCTACATGCAATGCGTGTTTTTAATAACGTCCATCTTCTTAAATTCATCAAACTGTCAAAACTTCATGCGGGAGCTCCAAAGATGCCAACTAGCCAAAAACAATGTTGAAAAAAAGCAGGGATTAGCACTGTGGTGGTGCAGGTTAAGACGCCCCCTGTTACTGCAGCATATGGGCAGTGCTTCATGCCCTGGCTGCCCCGCTTCTGACCCAGCTCCCCGCCAATGGCCTGGGAAGGGCAGCAGAGGATGGCTCACGTCCCGGGCTCCTGCCACCCACGTAAGACATCCAGATGAAGAGCCTGGGTCTGACCACCCAGCCTTGACTGCTGTGGCCATCTGGGAAGTGGGTCAGCATGTGGAAGATCCTCTCTCTCTCTCCCTCTCTCTCTCCCTTTCTCTCTCTCTCCCTCCCTTCTTCTCCCCCTCCTTCTCTGTAACTCTTTCTAAATAAATAGACCTGTAGGGAAAAAAGACAAATTTGGAGAGTGTAGCCTTTTTCATTCTACAACCTGTTACAAAGCACTGTGCCAGCCCAAGACAGACATTAGACCAGCGGAATGGAACAGAGGACCCAGAAATAACCTTTGACTGTGGTCAAGGGCTTCTGAAAGGATGTTAAGACCAGTTGGTGACTGGAGGATTGTGGCTGCATCAAAGGGTGCTGGGAAGATTGGATCGCCTGTGCAAAGCACAACACTGAATTACTCATACCATGTAAAGCCAAAACCAAGCAGAGGCCTGAGGTTAGAACAGGAAACACTCACAGGAAGCAACAGAGGAACTCACAGCACATCGGGCAATGGCTTCCTGAGACACTGAAGGTGCAGGTAAGAAAAGTAACCAAGTCGACACCTCAGATCACCTCAAAAACGGCATCGAACAGAGTGAAAGTGTTGAAAACACTCGCACTGCCTCAGAGCCATGGCCTTAAAATGGCCGGCTCGGCCACAAAGGACACGCTGAGAGCGGTGTGGTTCCCCTGCTCCTGCGGGTCGGGCAGACAGGCAGCCCTGCTGTGCCGCGCAGGAAGCAACAGGACCTGGAGCAGGCCGGAGCCCGGGGCTGGCCACTCTCTCTGCCCACACAGGTGGGGGTCACTGCTTCTCTGCTGAGGAACCTGGGCACCCTACCGCCCTTCACAGCCAGGACCGTCTGTCACTCCCTCGGACTGCCAACAGGGCCGGGCGGCCTGTGTTGCCATGGAGCCAGAGGTCTCCTGGCCAGGAGCGGGGAGGCGGGCCACAGTCTTGGACCTTATGAGGTATTCCATGTCTACCCAGGGGATGGTGGCTGCACCCCTGGTGGCACAGAGGTTTCTGGCCCCTGCCAAATGTCCATCAAGGGCACAGCCACTTTGGGGACCATGTGGTCAAGCAGGTGGAGTATGCATGCAGCCCCTTCTTCTAACTCCAAACTCGCACTCTCGGAGGCCCCTGCAGAGTCATTGCCCTACCCTGCTGCCCTGGAGCAGGGTGGTCAGGAATGGCCTCACCGGGCTCTGTTATGACTCCAGGAGGTACTGGAGGATGGAGGGAGGAAGGAGGCTGCCAGTATTCACACACAGACACCTGCACACATATGTACATGTGCTGCCTTCCACCCTGCATGCCAGGTTGGACAGGGTGCCAGGCAGGCCCTGGCAACACCTGAGCCTCCTCTGCCCCTCTAGAAATGGGAACAGTAGGCATGGCCGGGAGCCCCCGCCTCTGCCTGCCTGGTCTGTGGACTGGACCCTTACCCACCTCTTTCATTCATTCTTTTCCAGTTAAATCCTTTGTACTGGACTGTTAAATCCAACACCCCACCCTGTGGTGAGCCCTGGGGGCGGACACCTGGCTGCATCCTGAGCCCCCACAGGCTCTCTGCTGGGCATTTTGGGACGTGCCCCCTCTGCCCCAGTCCTCCTAATCCTGGCTGCTGATGCTCTTAGGGGATCCTCTGCTGTTCTCCTTGGGCTATTTACGGCCCTTCTTATCGCCTCTGCTCACAGGGATTTGTCCGGGACAAAGACAAATAGAAAGCAACAAATCTTGCCCCCTTCCAGGCAAAAGAGCTGGTGCTGTGTCGCTTCCCAGGTTTTCCCAACGCTCCCATGGGACATTTTAGTAGTTTGAGGAGCTCTGCTTAGGATCTCGTTTTCCATCTGTAAAGCTTTGCGAGTTTTGTGGCTTCGTACCTGGGGCTTCCATGGAAGAAAGTGTTCTGTTTGTGGCAAAGGCAGTCGGCCTGGGCAGTGCAGCAGAGCCACGTGGGTGCCCTTGGCCTGACCACGGTGACTTCTCGGGGCTCCCCAGGACTCCCCAGCACACATCAGCACCCGTCCTGCAGAGTTCATTCAAACGTGGTTTCACGGTGGGGCAACCATGTGCCTTCCTGGCCCCTGCTTCTTGCTCCCTGCTCCGGCAGGCGAGTCCACAGCAGAGGGAGCCAAGTGTGCCAGGATTAGACCCAGGTGCAGGGCATCACGGTGTGTGCCTTGGAAAGCTCACTTTCCCTGGGCTATGAGCAAGCTAAGAAAAAGTGGCTCCTTGTCACCACGCAGACGTTTCCTCATACGGCTTATGATGAGAACAATTAAGGAATAAAACAAAATCTCACGGGGGCAGGTGTAACCAAGTCTGCAAGACTGGACAGCAGCGGGCAGAGCCGATTGGAGGGAGCACGACTTCCTCAGTGCCGTGGGAGGAGCCAAGATTGGAAGGCGGGGCTAACGGGAAGAGTGGCAGCGGGCGGAGCCAACCCGGGAGGGCGGGGCGGCCCCCGGGCGGAGCTAGCGGGAACAGCGGCCGCGGGCGGGGCCAACCGAGAGAGCGGGCGCAGCGGAGGAGGGCGGGGCCGACGGGAGGGGCGGGGAGAGCGGGGACTGGTGGGCGGGGCCGACCAAGTAACGGGGCAGCGCGGGTGGGCGGAGTCTTCCCGAGAGGGGAGGGGTCGTCCCGGTGCACCGACCCAGGCCGCTTAGCGCGGCTCCGCGGCCCGGTCGCTCGCCTCAGCACTCACACGGTTCAAGCTTGCTCTCCGACGCCCGGCCCCGCTCGCCGCCCTCCGCCCCTCCTCAGCCTCGGCCGGGCGGGCGGCGGGCGTGTGTGGGCGGCGGCGGGGGCGCGGGGAGCGTTGGGGCACGTGACGGCGCGGCGGCCAATGGCGGGCGCCGTTGGGGCGGCGGGGCGGGGCGGGCGGCGCGGCGGGGCGGGCCGGGGGAGGGGCGGAGAGACGCCGCCGCCGCCGCCGGGGCCGCCGCCGCCGGGGCCGCCGCAGCCTCAGGGAGCCTGACAGGGGAGCCAGGGCGAGCGCTCGACCCAGTGCCCGGGCGGCGGCGGCGGCGGCCGCGGCGGTGGCCGGGGGGCCCCCGACGGCCGGGGCGGCGGCGCCGCCGCTGCTGCTGCTGCTGCTGCTCCGGGGAGCGGCCGGCGGCGGGGGCGGCGGCAGCCCGCACCAGCCATGCCGAATAAAAACAAGAAGGAGAAAGTGAGTGTCCGGGGCGGCGGGGGGCGGCCCGACGGGGCCCGGCCCCTGGGCCGGTGGGGGCAGGGCGGCCTGCGTGCGCCCGGGCCCCCCAGCCGCCGCAGCGATGGCGGGGGGCTGAGCGTCTGCCCGGCCCGGGAGGGGAGGCCCCGGTGTGCGTGGCCGGATTGGGAGGCGGGTGGCGGCGGCGTGGGAGGGGGCTGGCGTGGGCAGGCCGGAGCTCCCGAGGTGCGGTGGTCCTTCGCCCGCTGGGGATGCCAGGAAACCAGACGTTGAGATGGCTGATCGGTTCTGCTTGTGTTTCCCCAGGAAGTACCCAAAGCAGGGAAAAGCGGGAAAAGTTCCAAAGAAGGACAAGACACCATAGACTCAGAGGTAAGCAGCCCCCCCGTGTCCCCTCCTCCGGTGGGCAGCTGGAGGGGTCCCCACCCCGAGTGCGGCTTCCCTCGGGGGCCCCTGGTCCCGGCTCTGTCGGTTGCACTCTGGGGAAACACCCCGGTTCCGCCTGGCCAAGCTTCCCTGCCTGGATTGCCCCCTGATCTTGGGCTGGCCGGCTGGCGGCCTTAGGCTTGAGTGTCCTCGCCCGGGTCTGCCTTGCCAGCTGGCATGCTGGCCAGCTAAGAGCAGCTCGCTGAGGGTGCCCCTGCTGCCTTGTGGGGAGGGGTCTCGACTCTCCCGAGCCTGTTCTTCGTGGTCTCTAACTTCTGTGGGGTGGGCCCAGGCAGAGCAGCATGGCTGGCCCTGGCTCCATGGGCTGTGCAGAAGCTGCCTGGCTGAGCAGTGCTCTCCGGCGCTGGGCGGCTCAGGTCCCTGGTCCCAGTGAAGATGGCACCCTTGCCAACGGCAGCTGCCTTGCAGAGGGCCAGGGGAGGTGCGGTCCTGCAGGGGGCGGGCGCTTGGCTCGCCCTCGAGCCCCAGGCGACCTGTGCCCGAGTCTCCCTCCTCCTCATGCCGAAAAACCTGCTGTCTTTTCTGAGAGCAGAAAGCAGACGTCTGCCAGGGCTGTGTGCTGGTCCTTGTCCGTGGCACTGCGGCCCTGTCCTGGGCCACCAGGAGGCCAGGCTTCTCCTGGCTCCTGCCTCGTGCTTCTGGCTGGCCTGGCGGAGTGTGTGCCTTTATGTCCCGTCTGCATTGGCTTTGCTGCCCTTTGATGAGCGCTGTGGCCACGTGCTCCTGCCCAGGACTTTCTTGTTGCACACCCGTACCGCTGCCTGTTAGGGTCATGGAGAACTGTCACTGTGTGTGCTATAATGAACCTGGTTGTACAAATGGCGAATGTGAAAAACCCACGAGTAATTCAAAGACACCACACCGTGTGCCTGTGTGAGATGTGTGTCTTTAAGGTAGCTGGTTTTTTCAGACCAAACAGCAAAATGTTGGGCTTCTCAGTCCTGGTTCCTAAAAGACCCATGACACAATGGTGCTTTGAGCACACTTGCTGGCTGGTAGCTGTGCGGGAGCACCCCCTGAGCGTGCACCTGCGGGTGGGTGTGTGGGAGCACCCCCTGAATGTGCACCTGTGGGTGTGTGTGTGGGAGCACCCCGTGAGTGTGCACCTGTGGGTGGGTGTGTGGGAGCACCCACTGAGCGTGCACCTGCGGGTGGGTGTGTGGGAGCACCCCGTGAGTGTGCACCTGTGGGTGGGTGTGTGGGAGCACCCACTGAGCGTGTGCCTGCGGGTGGGTGTGTGGGAGCACCCACTGAGCGTGTGCCTGCGGGTGGGTGTGTGGGAGCACCCCCTGAGCGTGCGCCTGCGGGTGGGTGGGTGTGCGGGAACAATCCTGAGAGTGTCCTGAACTTTGAGTGAACCCCCGACTGTCCCAGTCTCTGCCCCAGCTTCAGCCTGGTTCCTAATGTCTCCCACCCACTCGCCCCAAGGTTGAGTCATGCGGGTAAATGGTGCCAGTGCCGCGTGCATTTCCTCCATTGCTCTTGGTTCCACTGTGCGTATTTCTTTTTTTTTTTTTTAAGATTTATTTTTATTATTTTTTCATTGGAAAGGTGGATATACAGAGAGGAGAGACAGAGAGGAAGATCTTCCGTCCGATGATTCACTCCCCAAGTGAGCGCAACAGGCCGATACTATGCCGATCCGAAGCCAGGAGCCTCTTCCGGGTCTCCCACGCGGGTGCAGGTTCCCAAAGCTTTGGGCCGTCCTCGACTGCTTTCCCGGGCCACAGGCAGGGAGCTGGAAGGGAAGCGGGGCTGCCGGGGATTAGAACCGGCGCCCATATGGGATCCCGGGCGTGCAAGGCGAGGACCTTTAACCACTTGCGCCACCGCGCCGGGCCCCCACTGTGGGTATTTCTACCTGAACCATTCAAGCAGGCTTGGTTTCTGATCACGACCCCTAACCCACCAGCCGAGGCTCACGTGACCCGAGACGCTCGGGCGTGTTGGGGGGCGCAGAGCAGGTACCTGCCCAGGACAGAGCAGCCGGAGGAGTGGAAAATGAGAGGAATTCCTTCAGAGGAAGCATCGCGGCCTGTGGCCAGTGCAGCCTTGCTGTGAAGTTGGGCTGTGTGTCGCCTGGCCTCTGCCGGGCAGCCGCGGGTGGCTCAGAGTACAGGATGCTGGGAAGGACAAGGGGCGTTTGATGGCCTGGGCTCGTAGGGGGGATGATGACACCATAAAGGCAGAAGAGAAGTGGGAAGTCTGTCTGTCTCTTGCTGTGTCACAAGTGACGTGGCTGTTTTCAACTGATTCTACCGGAGTATGCACAGCTGTTTGGGGAATGACTTCTCCCCGCAAGCCAGAGGGGGCGGCGTGCGGTCAGGGCTTGCCTGCTGCTGTGCGCCCTGTCTTAGCGCAGGATCTCTCCCTCCTAGAGTGGCCTGTTCATGTGTATTTTTTCTTTCAAATACTTAGATTTGACTTGTTGCTGCTGTTGCACGTGTGTCCTAGAAGGCATGGGCCTGCGCTCCTGTGTGCTGGCTTATTGCAAAGCACTAGCGCAGGACTGCCCAGGCTGCACTCCAGCAGAACCCCTGAAAAGCGGCGCTCGAGAAACCATACGTACTTGTTCTATGGGAAATAGAATTTTATGCTTTCATGGCCCCGTCTGCTCACTTGTGCCAGCCTCTTGGGGTTTAGGTGCCAGGGAGCAGGCGAGGCGCTGCAGAGAGCATCGTGGGCCACAGCCTTTGCCCCAGATCAGCCAGCTCCCCCGGCTGAGCAGGAGCTGTTGGTTGCTCGGCTGCTATCCTTGCTGTTGCCTCACCAGCAGTCCCAGGCTCACAGGACGTGTGGTTGTCCTGGGCGCCAGCATCCTTGGCCATCCCTCACAGGCACCAGCAGCAACCCAGTGCCGCCTGCAGACGGAGTGGCCTTGGCTCGGGCCCTGAGCTGCAGAGAGCTGCCTGTGGGTGGGTAGGTGTGCTCCTCCCCGGGACGCCTGCCAGCTCAGGCTGCCCGCACAGCCACGGCACGCTCCACGCCTTGCTTCCCTGGGATTGAGGGCCCCAAAGCTCGTCTCTCAGGACTGACACTCTCCGTGTTGTAAATTAAAGCTGGAGTTGTCCAAATGCTCATCCATTTGTCTGATAACGATTATACCCATTATACTAATGCTCATAATGTTTGTATAAATTTTAAGATTTATTTGTTTTTATTGGAAAGACAGATTTACAGAGGGCAGGAGAGACAGAGATATCTCATCCGCTGGTTCCCTCCCCAGTTGGCCACAACAGCCAGAGCTGAGGTGATCTGAAGCCAGGAGCCAGAAACCTCCTCCAGGTCTCCCGCACAGGTGCAGGGTCCCAAGGCTTTGTACCATCCTCTACTGTTTTCCCAGGCCACAGGCAGGGAGCAGTGGATCAACTGGGATGAGTTGGTGTCCATACAGGATCCCAGTGCTTTGCAAGCAGAAGATGAGCCATTGTGCCGGGCCCTTCTGTGAAAAAAAAAATTCAAACATTGTTGGGAAGAGTGACCCCGCTCTGTTTTTGCCGTCTGGCTGGCTGGCAGGTAGCTGGCTGCTGCCGCGGCTTGCCCTGCTCTGAGTGTATGCTGTGGAGCCTCCACACGGGGATGGCCAGAGGGGAGGTCTTCAGCGGTCAGATCTGGCTCTGGCCCGCAGCTGCCGCTCCCGGAAGGTCTTCCCACGCTCCACTGGCTGCTGGGATCCTTTCTGCTCCCAGCTCCAAGCTCAAGTCATCTGTTCTGGCATTTAACGGAAGCTTTTCATATTTAAATTTATTTTTAAAGTGAAAACACTTACAGTGCCAGTTCCTTGCCGTTTGTGCCATCGTGGGCCACCTTTCCTCACTTGCGACTTCTGTGGGCACGGCTGCTGGCTGCAAGGCCTCCCTTGGCATGTGAGCTGAGGCCTGGGCTCAGGCAGCACCTGGCTGGCAGCTGTCTGCATGCTGAGGGAGAAGGGCAGCTCCGAGTCAGTCAGCTTGCTGACTTGGCATCGGCTGAAGATGCTTTTCCTTTGGTTAAGAGGCTTATTTCCGTATCACCTTTCTGGTCCCTTGAGGGACGTTAATGCAGAACCTTCACTCAGCGCAGTTTAAGCAGACAGCATTGTGTAAAGCAGAAGGTTACGATTCTTGGGTCTTTTTCTTGTGTCTTGTGAAAGTTTCAAGGAAGAGAGGATTTTTGTTTTAGTTGGCTTTCATGTACTTCTTGGGAGAAATGCAGTCACATAAGGTGTTGGATACTAAAAGGAGACAGAGGGTCCAGTCTAATAAGATCTTGCTTTAGGCAGTAGCGTACTGGTTAAAGTCCTTACCTTGAACGCAGCAGCCCCGCTTCCCACCCATCTCCCTGCCTGTGGCCCGGGAAAGCAGTTGAGGACGGCCCAAAGCCTTGGGACCCTGCACCTGCGTGGGAGACCTGGAAGAAGCTCCTGGCTTTGGATTGACTCAGCTCCTGCCATTGCGGCCGCTTGGGGACTGAACCATCAGATGGAAGATCTTCCTCTGTTTCTCCTCCTCTCTGTATATCTGTCTTTCCAATAAAAAATAAATAAATCTTAAAAAAATCTTACTTTAATTCCATGTACTCCAAAATAGTTTTCATTTTAAATACAAGGTATTTAGTGATTTCTGCTTCATTAACGTGACAGTGTACCCCACGGCACCTGGGTGGGTTTTAGCATTTTGTAGGTTATATGGGTAATACTTTGTTTGAGCGTCTCTTACCTCTGCAAGCGTTTGTGGAGCATTGGGAAGAAACGCTGCGAATGGGGGTGACGTCTGCCTGGAGGAGAGGCTGGCTGGACACTCGGCTTCTCCCTCCGGCTTCCTGAAAGGCAGCCAGGACTTGGGTGCCTACCACCAGGTGGCACCTGGAGGGAGTTCCTCACCATGGATTTGGCACCAGCCAGAGGCCGCGACAAGCGTTTCAAGAGGAAACCAGCGGGTGAGTTG